TAATTTATTTTTATGTTTATTTACTATACAAAACACTTCTCTAATGTGTATTCTCTTCTTTGATTTAACTTTATTAATTTTTATTTAATGTACACAATATTTCATTCAGTGCCTTTAATGTGATTCTTATGTTTTACTAGTAATTGAGCAATATTAATTAATAAAATTGCCAGGGCAATAAGTATCTACTTAAATATTAACAAAAATAATCTTTAAAAAAGAAATATATAAAAATGTCTTCATATTTTGTCCCATTTATATACTTCAGGAACATAACAGTCAACTTTTATTTGGAGGCTCTCACATCCACCTCAATATACAAAATGTTAAAAACTTCCTTCTGGTAATGGCACAATTTAAAAATGTATTAATAATATTGCCAGGAAAATAAGTATATTAAAAAAAACTTTTTTGCTGTCACCAGAGGAAAGAGTGTCGGAGAGAAGGGGAGGGATATCTTAAAGCAGTATTTTTCAACCTTCTTGAATACGCAACCCCTTTACAAGTTAAAAAATTCTGGAGACCCCCCAGGGCCATATTAAAACTATATCAGTGATTTTAAAACTACGTATTTAATTTTCTTTCTGTTGAGACCTAAATATTGATAAAAAAACCAATTGTACTGTAAAATAAACAGGCACAACCTTCTCACTGAAATTGTAGTTTTTTTTTTATTGTAGTGTAGAACCAACAAACACTTGTATTTTTCTTTTACCCACGACCCCCCGTGTAAGGCTTTGCGACCCCCTGAGGGTCGCAACCCACAAGTTGAAAAACACTGTCTTAAAAGGACTCTTCTGACACTGTCTAGTGAGATCCTGCAACCTCCATGATTACAATGTGTTGAGACTGCTGAGTTGAAATAATTGTAGTTAATGGCTCTTAAATGTTGATTCTAATTTTTAATGTTCTACTGGTTTCATCCATGTAATGATATTTTGCTTGGAAGTTACATGTAAAAGTGTAAACTATGTTATTGTTTAGCATTATGTCAGTTTTTCCATTGATCCTTTGTTTACTAAAAAGTGAACAAAAATTTAATATTAAACCAATATTAAATTTTTGACTAATGACCAATATTATATGATAAAATTTATTAATTTTATTTTTTAATATTGGTCATAGAATAATGTTATGTGGTGTCATTAATTTTTGTATTTTCTCAAATAAATTGGGAATCTAATTTTAATAATCTAATTTTTTGTATATTAACTGTGTTTGTGTTATTGTTTGTTATTTTGTGTTTTTATTTAACCATCTGTTAATTACTTTGTTAAAATAACTGTTTAATTAAAAAATATGGTATATACAGTTTATTTCTTCCTTCTGTGTTGTTATATTACTAGTATGTACAGCTGTCCCTTGATAATTCAACAGGCATGGGACCAAAGAGGTGTCAGATTACCAAAAGTGTCCAGATTACCGAAAGTGATTACATATTTGGCATTGTTTTGCTAGCAGTAGCCTACAATATTCCCTACTCCAACTGTTTGAAAAGAACTGCTCATGAAAAACACATGAAATGTGTGTCATCGTGTAAGAATTGGGTGGGGAGATTCACGTCGCAACATGCTTCTGTGCAAGCAGACATGTAACAGGGATGGTACCTCGACTGGAGGTGCGTCGGACTACTGAGCATGTCGTATTACAAAACATTGGACTATCAAGGGACAGCTGTAATTTAATTTTGTTGATATACATATCAAAAATATTCTTTTTCATATATGTAAGTGCATTTGAATAAAATGCACCCATGAAAAACTTTGAAAAAAGTAGAAAATAATGGCATTTAAAATTTTTTTACATGTGACAATTAAGATTTCATAATTCACAAATGCTCAGCAAATATGTAAAACCATGTATGTAATGTATAACAAAATCATGAACAGTCATTAAAAGAAAATTTACTGAACATTTAGAAATTATGAAAATTAAAGGAAACAGAATGAATTTAAACACTGGCACCGCCATTGGTGAGATCTGGCAACTGCCACTACAGTTCTGAAAAGAGTTTGTTTAAGATATCCCTCTGCTCCTGACATCCTTCCCATCTTTCTATATTACACTGTAATGTGCATCTAAAGTTTAGATCAGGGGTGTCCAACCCGCGGCCCGCATGCGGCCCAAGGCAAGTTTCAATGCGGCCCAATAAACGTGTAAACAAAACCGACAAAATGTTTTAATTTTTTTATTATTTATCTATTTCAACGGCATAAACTCAAAAAAGAAGTTTCACAAAGCCCTAAACCTTTATTCGTATTTTATTCTTGAGTGGAAAGGAAATATTTTCAAATACTTGGAGACGTGTGAATGTGGAAGGATTACTAAATAAAGCTGGAGTTGTGACTCAAAGGATTATAGACACAAATTTGGGAAAAGGAGGGAAAGATGAGAAAAACAAAAGATGTAGTAGTGAGAAAGGTTAAATAGATCTGTTGACCCTTAATTTTCCAACCTTTCTCACTATTTTATCTTTTGTCCTTTCTCTCCTTTCCCTGCACTTGAGTCTATAATCCTTTGATTCACAACTCCAGCTTTATTTAGTATTTTTTCCAACGTTGCAAGATTTGGCTACATTGCGCCAAATGTGACTACTTTTTTTTGTTTGACGTAAAAAATATCATTTGGCGCTTTGGCTACTTTTGGGCTACATATTATTTATATTAGTTGAATAAAAATGCACTTTAAAATGGTGTTTCGTTGCTTTTTATTAATTAGAGACCCAAATATAACAAACGTCTGTGTTTTTCAAATAAATTTCCGTTTGTCTCTTTTATAATAAATGAATTTATCTATTTCTAAGTAAAAATTGAAAGTGTCTGTAGAAGTAATTTTTAAAATATCCTTTTTCTTGATAAAGTTTTAATACTTATTATTATAATCTAGACATGATAATCCTTAAATATACTTGTATATTGAACCACAAGTATATATTATATGTACAGTACTTGTGGCCAGTGGCGTAGCGTGGGTGTCAGCTGCCTGGGGCGGAGGAAAATTTCACCGCTCCCTTATTTAGGTATCTCAATTTAAAAGACTAAAATTCAGTTTCGTCACAGAATAAGTAATGAAAAATTCCGTGCTAGTGTTGCCACATTTTTAAAATCGCCGACCCTGATGGCAGGTGAGGTTTGTTCGAACAGAAATTCCTGACGCATGCGTATATCATTTTGCAATGCGAAGAATAATTTGCAGTGCATGCCTGTTCTAAATCAGTTACAGTTACCGACTAGGGAGACTTGGATAGGAGTAACGCAAGTGACCTAGCCCTATTGGATATTGGAGGTGTATATGATTACAAATGAATCGCACAATCAAAGAAAAAAAACAAAAAACAAAAATAAAAAAAGGTCAACAGGTTGCGCATGATATCCCCGGACGGCGAGTCGATTCGCGGACTATCCGTCCGGATGGATGGTAAAACTATTGCCGTGCTCATTTCAATCAGCCCGAGTTGTAGGTGGACGAAAATATGAAATAAAATGGTACAAATTTTTACAAGATATTATTATTATATTTTGTGAAATTTTGCCGCCCCCTAAAAAGTGCCGCCCAGGGCGGGCAGCCCCCTACGCTATGCTACTGCTGATGGTGGCCCAAAACTCCTTGACTTCTTCTAATGCGGCCCAGAGGAACAGAAAGGTTGGACACCCCTGGTTTAGATGATAGTTATACCTCTTTTTAACAAATAAATTTTATTTTTTTTAGAATATACAAAGTTCCTTTTACCAACTTTTTATATTTCACAGTTTTAATAGTATTTTATTATATTCTTCCTTTTATAATTTACAGGTATTCCTTTTATAATATTTTTATTTGAAACTCTACTGTTTACTTAATGTACAATTTACTTATATATTTTCTAGTAAATGAGAATCCAGTTGTAATTACTATAACCATTACACACATGTAACTTCTGCCATCCAGGTAATATTGTGTTCATTATAACTATAATTTAAATTTTGTAATGATTTTTAAACCAGATTAATGTAAAAAAGAACTGATGAGAGAAATACAGTCTGAAATGTACATCCTCCATAATCAATAAAGCCTTTATATCAATCTACATTGTGTATATCCTGTGTGCTTTGTTTTCTCAAGCAATCTTAGACTTATTCCTAACAATATCAATCAACTAAACTTGTCATCTTTGACAAATAATACATTAAAATGAATGAATGAATATTATATAAAAATTTACTAATCTTGAATTATTATTAAGATTTTGGACTGATTCGAATAAGTGAAGCTTCTGTTTAACAAAACTTAGATATCTGTGTGTTGTTATATTGTAAATTACTATAATCAATCAATGATTTGTAATCATTCATTATGTATAGTTAAATCTAGTAAATAAAATAAAAGAAGAATCATACTGAATTATTATATCAAATTCTTACAAAGAAATGTAAATCATTAAATTTTATTGAATAAATTATTAAAATTTCAGTCATAGTAGATCAGATTTTCAACTGAAAGATAAAATACACCTTTGTAACCAGATTTTAATATATTATATAAATCTAAGATCTAAGTATGTATAAGCTTTTATTTTCAAGTCTTCTTCAATACAAAGTATTATATTATTGAAAACTGATGATGAATTTTTAAATTAATTTTAAATACTTTTTTTACATTCAGATATAACACAGGAAAAAGAAAATTTAAGGATAAATGAATATAGGCTTATATATTCTATTAATATACTTTTTAACGAAATATAAATCTATTTAGAAATAATCTAATTCACCAACGAAAGCATTCAAAGTGCCACATGTCAATGTTACTTAATGATCTTAATCAAGGCTAAATAAAACGGAATAAATATAAACTAATTTCGAAAAACATGGAATGAATCGATAGAAAAAATAATAAACAAACTGAAGATCCCTCTCCAGTCAGTCATTCTTGTACGATCAAAATCAGCTTTTCTCCTCTTTTACGAACGAAATGATTATAATTGTAGCAGAGTATTAATTGAATAACTATAATAACTTTACCTCAATAAAGATGACGTAATCACACGAATAAACATTCGTTGATTTTAGATGAACTTAAAACAAAAAAGAAGATAAATAACTATCCGCCATTTTGCATCGGTCGGTTTGGAAATATCGTTTTGCTTGTTATTGTTAATACGCATGCCACAGCGATTGCGCATGCGCAATTAAAGATTTCGAGGTCAACGATAAAAGTAAATTGTGCTACACGACGAAAACGAAAGTTCAATATATATTTGAAATATTTCAATACTACAAATAAATCCGAAACAGTAAATTATATTCGTATAATAAATTAATTTATAATTTATAACGTATAGTTAATTTTTCTTGACGAATAAATATATTTCACGAGTAAAATTTATAAAATTCCACCAATCGGGTGTCATATCACCATTTAATTGTGGAGTAGCTAAATTCGTCTGCTACAGATCACGTGCCCGGTAAATCTAAAATTTTAATCACAGATTTTAAATTATTTCGAAATAGAAAATCGACATAAAATTATTTTTAAACTATATTTTAATTTAACTATACGAAATTAATAATTTAATACGTAATTATTTTTAATTTTAAACCATTGCTGATTATAATCCAATTAATAATTATTTTTTAAATTTAAAATAACGAAAATTGATATAAAATAAATTATGAAATAAAACAAATAAAAATTAAAATTATATTA